ACCGAAACGTCTTCGTTTCAAATAGAGTTTTTCGCATACCCTAATCGCAAGTAATGGGGGTGCATCGTATTGATTTCCCATCGGTTTTGAGCTCAGCCGAAGATAAGGCTTTTGTGAAAGGGTATTCGGATCCCAAAACCTCAGATGACAGGCTATGAAAAATGTGTATTGCATTGTTTAAGAAGGGGGTTTTTCGGGGAGGGGGGATGGATGGTACTTGTTTGCCAAATGCCTTTTGCATTAAACGCCTTTATGCCAAATTGAACACAATTAAATTAGTTGCGGCCAAGGGATTAAGGTGGAAATTGCCATCGTTGCTGCTGCTGCTGTCTGTGTTTATGTATAACTAATTGGCTATGTAAATGGCAGCTGAGTGTTTGTCCTGTGTGTGTGTTGTGTGTGTGTGTTTGTTCCGCCTACACATATGTACGCTGTTAATTACGGGCAGAGGCAACCGCAGCTTATAGATGATTGGGCCGGTTTAGAGTGGCTCGAAAGGTCCTAGGGTGGCTCCGATTCTGGGTTTGAGTTTGAGTTTGGGCCTGCTGTTTGTCAAGGGGGCTGTGGCACATCAGCCGCCCACATTGACATTTCGAGCAGCGTTGTCATGAAACCTTTTGCTAAGGATTATGCAAATCTGCCACTCATCGTGCACTCACTCACACACACACACAGCTCAAACACACTCACTCACACACAGAAGCAATGGCGTGCCTTCATTTACATTTACATTCAGCTAGCTGAAGATTTGCGCATCATAATTTATGCCCCTCAAGCCCCACATTTCCCCGAAAGAGACAGCTGGATGGGGCAGAAAAGAAAGAGAGAGGGCGAGACACTTCATTCAGAACGCCTCAAAAATTGCCCACAGTTATGACAGCCAGGTGAACTCTGACAGAATCAGGAGCAGCAGCCAGGACTCACTCGGATTCCTATTCACGTCCAGGGTTGGGCACTGCGAAAAATATTACCAAGAAATAGGCTTTATAATACCAGGGATCCCAATAATGTAGGATTATTAGTCATATTTTACGGAATTTTTTACAAACTCTTAAAAACTAAGTATTACTAGAATATATGTAGTATTCTTAACATGTTTTTGAATTTTTAATAATAATAAATATTGGACAAGTTACATTTATCTAAAAGAATTAGGTAGATAGACACAGAAACAGAGCAGCTCATACTAATATTCCCAGTTTACACTCATCTATTTTTCGTTTCGAGGTATATTTACGGTTTAGTTTTTTATGCCTCTATTCAGTCTTTTTTCTATTCTTATGAACATTACGCCACAAGCGTTGTAATAATATTATTCATCACACTTAATCTCGAATTTTCTTTTTGTTATTTTTCGCTACAGTGTACTTTAGCCATCGCTCACTTGCCTTTCCATAATTAAATCATAAAAAATTGTTTTTTAATGAAATTAGTTGGGGTTTTTTCTGAGCTGCTGTTTTCGTTTTGGCTTTGCTTTGCATGATTTGTCATAATTAATACCGAAGTGGGCGGGTCTCCAGAGGGAGTAAGAGAGTTATCTGACATTTGAGTGCCCTGGCCAACAGTTTGGCCCAATCCCTTTGCCATTCCCCTGGAGATGGTGCACTTTTGGCCATTTGCCTGGCGAGGTTCAGATGGTTTCGGGGTCCTGGCCCCCATAAAATGCTTATGAAAAGCGCTTAAATTTAGTAACCTTTACGGTGCGGAGGACGAGGGGGATATCTGAAAATGCAAACACCGTAAACACCTTTAAAAGCCAGTCCAAAGGAGACCGGACTTGGCTGCCAGATCCTGATAGTTGGCTGGGCAATTTCCATGCGGAGGGACTTTACAAAATGTGTAGTTTATTTGCAATTTTTTAGCCAACGAGCTTTACGTTTCTGTTTTGATTCCCACACCCCGTTTTCACCCGTCCCCTGCGAATGTGGAATTTTCGTTATCGCCGAGCTTGCAGCAGCAGCAGCAGCAGCATCTGCATCAGTTGCAATAAAATCAGTGGCCAAAGGTTGCAGCATCTGAGGTCAGCTGGGTGGCACTTTTCCACATTTCCCCATTTCCCCCATTGCCAACTCCCAGCCCCCTTTTCCATGTATGTGTGTGCTTGTTAAATAGAACATTTGCTGGGAAAACCTGCGCAGGGAAAATTTGAATTTCAGCCGTTGTGTTTTGCTTATCCTGTTCGTTTTTTTTTCTCAGTTCTCTTAGTTCTTTTGATTTGTTTTCGCATTTAGAAAATAGTTTTCTGATTTGCATTTAAAAGGGGCTTTTTGGTGGGATTTTAAGGGCCCTAGATGGTCTACAGATACAAATGTATAAATTGGATGTCTAAGTAAAATAAATGTAGATAGATGTGTTGTAGAATCTTTTCCTTTATAATAAAGGTGATTTGAACAATATTTTAAATTCCTATAGAGAATCAGAAAATGGCATATATGGAGAGGAAACATTTTTTTCTAGTTGTCATTATAATTAAGTGAATTCTCCTATTACGAAAAGCGAGTTCCAGACTAAAGATTTTGAAGGGCATCCGTGAGTGGTATTCCTGCACCGCAAACTGGAAATGGAAATGCAACTAAACAACTATGAAAACATTTGAAAGCGGCACTTGAAAAGATACAATACACGGCAAATGGCATTCGCTGCAAACTGATACAGAAAAGGTTGCCGTGGCAACATGAAATTGGCTGGCAGGACTGCGCCATAAATTTCTATCTGTTATATCTATATAGAAAAACCCCTCTGCTGTTGTGGGTGCTACGCATGCAACTATTAATCATATTGAATGGCGCACCCTGACTTGTCCGGCTAATCAATCTTGCCAGTGGCAATCTCTCCGCGCTCATCTCATCCAAAAAGCGGAAGAAAAATGGCCGCTAAAGTCATTAACGCTTCGCTGGTCACCTGCCGCCGAAAAACAGGGGAAAATCAGGGGGGAAAACTGGGTGGAAAACTAAGCCGCCGCTTGCCAATTTTGCTATTTTGTTTATGGACCTGGCGAAAATCGCTCAACTTCCTACCCCGCGCATCAGATTTTCCCGCCCCCAGCTTTTCCCAGCTGCCCAATGAGGCGGCAGGGAAAAGCCAAAGGGGATTAGTTGTAATCAATAACTTGGCCAAGAGCAGGGGGAAAACTGGTCTTGGGCTTCTGTTTTGTTTGCCTGTCGAAAGTTTCGCCGCACAGCTTATGGCCAGGCTTATACACTCGCAGCCAAGTTATTATTATAATTTCCTTTGCCAATGCGGATTAATTGAAAAGTTTTCCATTAAGAATTCGCGCTTGGTTAAATCGACCGCCGCCTTTTGTTTCACCTTTTTGTTGGGGGGCAGGTACACATAGCAAATCTACCTATGTATATATAGTATCTTCACTATTTGATCGTTATGAATTTTGACAGGTTGGCCGGGCACGATGAAAATTACTTAAAAGCATTTCGTTACCCAGCGCTGATTTGATTGATGGCCGTTTATGGATGCTTCACCCTCACTCGTCATTATATTCGCATTATCAAGTGCTATCGGTATATATATATATTTTTTGTATATATATAGCTTTAGTGGGCGGGGCAATGGAGCATTGCAAATGGCAGTTGACGTCTTGCGGCGAGGAGCTGACAAAAAGTTGCGCCAATTTATGTCAATTATCGGAAGCTTTACCTGCGGAGTTGAATTTCTTTTGGGGGTTAGGGGGTTTTTCGGATGGGTTGCGGGAAATCGAGAAAAATCGTTGAAAATCCCCTCGAGAGCTGGCTCTGTAATTTGCTGGGGAAAAACAAATAATGGCATTTTTAGCTGTTACCCGATACAGCCAATTTTTTTTTCATCATTCAAATTTGTCACTGGGTGACTGGGAAACTTGATAATGTTTAAGGGTAGCATCCTTTTTTCCCTGCTGAGGATATTAAATGTGAAGTTGGAGTTATTGGGATCAAATATTGGCTGGAATTGAATTACCAAACTGTTTTCGGGCCCATCTTGTGATACCTTTTTGTTGATCTATTTATATTTTTTGCCCAGGAATATACATTTATTTTGGTCACATTAAAGGGGTTTTATAGAGATTGCCGATATTATTTAACCCTATATTTTAAAGGCTTTTAAAAGCTGTTCTCCCCTTTATTTTCCTGAACCCTCTTAAGCCCTTCGCTTTCCATATCTACCTAGCACCAACCATTTAATTCTTAAACTCTTCTCGACATGTTCTATCCTCTTGTAAAATCCCCTTAACATCCGATAGCACATCGTTAATGAAAATCCGTGTTTGGGGCTTTTCCATATTTTTTTTTGCCTTTCGACAGGATCGACAGGAGAGTCGCTCATTAAAATCGGCGGCGGGAAGGCTGAAGAGCGTCTATCAAATCGATTTTCGTTTAGTATCGTAATCAACAACACGGGATTTCTGTGCTCGTGCTAAAAATTTGTGTTTCGCGCTATAACAAGTCTGGCGAGGGCCCCGTTTCGGCCTTTTGCCCAACATGGCTGAATGGAGAACTTAAAGAGCACTCGAACGGCACTCAGCCGCAAACACACACACATACACACATTTGCACACTTGATATGCATATGTGTGTGTTTAAGTGGAGTTTTCTTTTTTTTTGGTGGGGGGAGTCCTGGGCTTTGCAGTACTTGTCAAGATTGAATTTGGTTCGAATTTTTTTTAGAGGTTTTTCTCTTTCATTCGCTGGCTTCGTAATTTTTTCTCTTTTTATTTTTTTGGCGTTTTTATTGATCAAACAAAACGTAGCAAGTGGCAGCCAGTGAAGGTGTCACTGCTTACGGCAAGAAAAAAGAGGAATATATATACAAATTTACCCGTAGAAACACGCGCAGTGCGAATAGATTGCATGATTTGCTCCACTGCCTGTCATTCTGATTTTTTATGATTATTATTTTGCTTCATTTCGTTTAGCGTTTTGGCATGTGACTGGTTTCTACTTCCAAATATATGTAGCTATGGATATTATAGGATATGGTATATACCGAAATAGGAGTTCTCCACTTACCGGACCAAACTGTTCGAAGTAACTTTTGACATCCTCCAGTGTGGTGGGCGCCGAGAGGCCGCCCACAAAGATTTTCTTCGTTCTCGTCACCATCTGCAATGGGGCCAAGAAAATGGCGAAAAACGGGTTAATATACATATGCATAAGAGTAATGAGCGGAAAGGTTAAGTTGGGCGGTATTTAAATATGCATTTTATACGGGACTCTACGCGGGTTACTCCGAAAGTTATGACCCCTCAGACGGGCGAGAGTCGGGAGCCCAGGGACTTTGGGCTTCGACCTTCGAACCCGCCCGTCTTCCACCCAAGTTCCTGTAACTTATGGTCACCAACTTTCGCCATGAGTCGTTCGACCATTTTGTGCATTTTATGTACTACATGCATGGGGCCCTTATTCTCTTTCTCTCGCCTCTGACTGTGTGTGAGTGCGGGCTTGAGTGTGTGTGTGCAGCTGGCATTTTTAAGCTGACAGTTTCAAGTGCCAACTTTACGCAGTTAGTGCAGCAGAAGCAGCAGGAGCAGCAAAAGCAGCAGCAGCAGCCGTCGAGCACCCAGCACCGAAAATGATGGCGAGACAAGGACGAGCAGGCTGCCTCAGGCTTGCATACGTAGGTGCACTCGAAAAAATGAATTTTAAAATAGAAACACCATTAAAAATTAAGAAAAAATAAAGTTAAAAGAATTTAATTTCCTCTTAACCATTTTTTTTTAACAATCTTCTCGTTTGGTATCGAAATTTCTATACAAAAATGTTGTATTATTTCCCCAAGATTTTTTCCTTCTGTTTTCAAGCCAAAATATTAAGATACCTAAGATAAGATATGTGGCAGGGAGAAAACAAACAAGTGATCCAACATGCAGATATTTTACTATACTTAAAGGTACATTTTTTACCAAAACAGAAACCTAAATTCGCCGCAGATTAATATTTTCTTAAAATGGATCAGCTTGAAAAAGATAACCATTGATGAAAATATTTTAAAGTCACCGTTTAGAAAAATTATATATTTGAGGGAATCAACATAGGATCGTTTTCGAGTCATCATGCCAAAATAAAAGTATCTAGACATAGACATTTGGAGTTTAAAACCTACTTTTAATCAACATGATGAAGATAAAATAGAATTTTTGGCCCTAATATTGTTTATTCAACTAAAACTGCAATCTTATGTTTGTTAAGCTTTTTCCTTTCCAATTTAAAAAGCACACGAGTCGCGAAATGCCAACGGTTATCAGAAATTTCCCCGCAGTGCACTCGTGTGTGTTAGCTGCTGGCTGTCTGCGTGTGTGTGCGTGTGTGTAGTGCAACGCCAGCCTTTTTAGCCCGCAGGCAAGCGTAAACTGTTAACGTTAAGTGACGGCAGTTAAGGCACAGTGGGCCCATGGCAGAGCCCCACCAATTTTAATTTGTATAATTTTTAAAAAATTACCCACAAGCTAAGTAAACCCCAGAGACCTCGGCTAAGTTCAGAGGCTGTCACGGTTGGATGGGAAAAGCCGAGTGGGCGGTGTGACGAAGAGGGGGCGTGGTTCTTGACAGAGCAGAGGAGGCGGTGCGGGGCCCACGGTTCGAGGGACCCTCGAATAAACCGGATGAAGCTGATGACGCTGATTGCACTGACGCTTGCAAGCTGCAATTTATGAGCACGGCACAGACAACGGGGGATGAAGGCCCCCCTTTCACCCCCTTTTTCGAAGGGGGGGTTTCGTGCGGCGGAGGCGATGTGGGATATGTCCGTTAAGGAAGCTAACGATATGTAACAGCGGTGCTGATGTTTCTGCAGTGCCAGCAGTAAAATTCATACAATGTCGTAAAATTAAAACACTTGTGCTGTCGCACTCACTCGCACCGACAGAGACGGGTATAGGAATAGAGACAGAGATAGAAATAGAGAGGGGAGGTTTAGATGTTACTACAAAGTTGGTCGTGCAGCTTTTGGCAAGGCAAATCGCTTTGGCCCAGAGTCCTGTCTTCTTGCTCAGCAGCTCCTGGCTTCTGTTTTTGGTCTCCTACTTCCTGTCGCTTTTAGTTTTTCCTCCTCCTGTTTTCCAGTATCTGTTTTTTTTTTTGATTTTTTTTTCGTCTGTGCTGCACTTTAGCCAGGTTGAGTTAGCAGTGGATCCTGTGGTTGGGTGGTTGGGTGGTTCGGTGGTGCTGCACTCCGCGGGCGTTCCCTCTAACAATTTGCAAAAGCAAAAAACGAGCAGAAATCAAGTTGAGAGTGCGCTGCAAGAAAGTAACTGTAACAACATGACGTCCGAGACAACGTCGAACCCGGCACCACCCCAGCACAAGCTCGGCTCGCCAGCCAGCCCCCCCTGGATGCGCCGCCCATGTGGCTCATCATCACCAGCCACAAAATGGGTACAGAAATTGCAGCGTTGTTAAAAAGCGATTCAAACTGCAGTGGCCAGCACTTTGAGTGTGTCTGTGCACTACCAAAAAATTATGATCGCAAATGGGTAGTGCCTTGAAAGCACATAAAAAGTGGCCCATGAACCTGAAATAAATTACATAATTTTATATATATAAACAGATTTGTTAGTAATTTCTATTTAAAATATTTGGGAACCTACACATATCTATAAATGTCTAACCAACGGAATATTAAATTGAATTAAATAAAATTCAGTTTTAGTCGGAAATCAAGGAAGTGTTATAAGACTACTTTGTTTAGTAGGCAGCCTCTGAAACTTACTTTAAATTATCATGATCAGCTGATTGATAATAGGAAAGGTATGACAGTGCATTGATATTACACATCATTTGGTAACCTTTAATACAAAACCTCCCTTTTAAGACAAGATAATGGATCCCTTTCTGCAAACCAACAATGTTTCTCTGTGCGGTTACAGGCTCTCACTTAGCTGTCGACCACAACGCACTTCGCCCTGCACTAATCACTCCCAAAATGGAGCTACTTAAACTAATAAACTGGAGCCGGGAGTTTGATTGCTCGACCAATGTCGGCAATGTCATCATCAAATATAAATGAACCAGTTTGGGAACACGCCCAGTGCTGATAGCGGGGCATGAATCAAAAACAAAACACACCCAAAAACCGAACCGAACGCGACCTCAAGACAAATACACATGCGGCTACGGGGGCAGCACGGATATTCAGGATACAGGAGCACAAGGATACGCAGATACACAGATACTTAGATGGCCAGATACAAATGGCACCACACACGCATACTAACGAAGTGACACGGCATTTTAACGGCCACCGCAGCGGAGCACAGATTAGGAATGTCAATATTAGCCACAAGGACTGCGATGAGCCGCCGGATGTCCTGGGGGTCGATCGAGGGGTCGACGGGTCGAGTGGGTGGGGCCAACAACTGGCACAATGTTTGGCCATGGCCATGTCTTTTCGGCCGGGTAATGCCGAAAATTTGACAAATGACGTCAGGAGTGGGCGTTATCAAGCGGTGGGCGTGGCATCGCAGGAGGGGAAGGAGGCAGAAGGCCGAAGGACACACGGAAGCGCAAGAAGGCGGACCAGTTACAATGCAGTTGACAAGAAAGTCGCCCTTTGGATGGATGTCTATTATAAACTAGACGCCACAGGGACAAGGGAACTTTTGTCCACGAAAAAGGGGTGAAACATTTAGATTCTAACTTTAAAATATATTCAGATTACCATAGCGAAATATTTTAAAATACTTTAAAAAACCGAAAAGGACGATTACGAATACTAGAAACAGAGGAAAGGATTAAGCCAATACCAATTATTTTTGTACGATTTTAAACTAGACCAATCAATTTGCCACTTTGTAATCAAATGCACGGACTTTTCTTCATGATTTATAATAAATTAGAAAGAAGAAAGGAAAATCTTACATTCATTACAAAATGTTTTCATTGTCTTCTATTCTATCAATTGAATTACATTTGTTGCAAGCCCTACTTAATCATTCCATTTAATCCAATCAATAGATCAGATGAGTTAGAGGTATCTCCGCCCATCAAATAAAATAAGAGGCAATCAATCAACTCAACACCTAGACTGCTTATTTAATAAATAGATTTACGCCTTTCTCCTAGCATTACGGATTTTAATGAGGCGTAGCATATAAATAGGAAAATACAATAAAGTCGACACTTTATCACGGCCTTTCATCGATACGCAAGACGGTTGACAAGTCGCATGCATATTTCATTCTGACATGGCTGCCATATCGATAACCCCGACTTATCCGGATTCCAAGATAGCATCTTTGGATTGGGGGATGGGTGGGATGAAAAGCGATGCCGACACGGCCATCATCTCCATCATCTCTTGGGGAGCAGGCGATGTCTGTTGTGTTAGTGGGTAAGGCCAAATCAATTTAACACTTTCAACTAAATTATTCATTTTGCATAATAATTTTCAAATCTGTCAAAAATGTACACACACCCACACTCCCTCAGATACTCAAGATTTTCGAGGCGTCTGCACTTTCACACGCTCTGGAATGGGGGGCGTGGCATTTTGGGGAGGTGGCGGCGTTTGCGAAACGCTTCCCAAAAAGCACTCAAATAATTCCCGGGCGTAAGCTAAACCAGCGCAAAGTTGCCGAGAGCTCACAACAATGGCAAACGGAAATTGGGGGAAGGGGCTTTCTGTAAGGCAATGAAATCGGGGGGTTTTTCTGGTGGAGGGGGTTGGGGGTTTCGGGAAAATGGAAAACCCTTTAACCGTGCGTAGGCTCCGCCGCCGTCCGCCAAGCGTCGCAAATTCTGTTAAGCGAAAATTTCATCAACGAGCCAGAATTTTCATTCGCCATTCAGACGCTCGAGCCACCTGCCCTTCCCATCGCCCCCCTCCCCCTTCGTTCGTTGTCAAAATGAAAGGAAAATGTCTCATAAATCCTTTTAATATTAAATGAGCTCGTTCTACGCGACAGCGACAGCCCAAGCCCAGAAAAGTGGGCTGGGAAAATGGTTGGAAATTCGGGCAACGCACACACTTAAAATTATGTGGCTAATGGGAGCAACTTGCCTGGAAATTGCTCGCGGAACTGCGGAGATGTCTCGAATCGGCGACACATGTTCAGCGGAAAAGTGGGAAAATCATGGGGTTGGGGGGCAATGCGGGGCACTTTGCC